AAAAAGAAAAAAAAAAAAAAAAAAAACAATAAAAAAAATTAACTATAAAAAAAAATAAAAACAAAAAATAAAAAAAAAATAAAATAAAAATTTAATATAAATAAATATATATATATATATATATATATTATGGAATGGACATGCCAAAAAAATTTTCGATTCCATATAAAATTCATCAAGTAGTTAAGGAGAACTTGTATGTATGTATTGTATATGCTCAATTTAAACTTTAAAATAATTTTTATGGGATTGGTTATTTTATTATTAACAAATTTGGATTTCCTAGTACTAGCATTTTTAATATGGTCATCGTATGACAATTGGATATTAATCACAAGGATGAAACAATAAATTATAGAAAACATTAATACAATTTTTCAATTGTAACAATAAATGATGTTAATATTGCCTTGAAATAATTGTTCTGCTTATTAATTGACTCATTTTACATTTTTTTTAACTTGCATGTTTATTTTTTAAAAAGATTGATGATCTGAAGCAATTTATAGAAACTGATAATGATGATAGTGAAGATGAAGTTTGGCAAATAATTCAACGGAAAAAACCACATCTGCATCTGGAACATTTCGTGAAACATAGTATAAAAAAAAAGAATAAATAAATATTCAATTGGTAGAAAATATTTTGGAAAGATTGGTCAAGGCTTTAAAAATAGGGATGAGAACGATTGAACCGCGATTCAGTTCAACCCGCGATTTAATCGGTTTGACCCGAACCACAGTTCAAACTCTCGCAGTTTACATATTATTAAATACCACGTGTAGCTTGGGTTTTGTTTAGTGATAGAAAAACCTTAGCCGGCTAAGAACTTAATAAATCCCAAAAAACCTTTTCAGATGGTATTAAGCTTGCTGGTATTATTATTACTACTACTATTGTTATTACTATTACTATTATTTTACTATTGTTATTATAATATCTCGCCTTTAATGGTTCAAATTATTTGTTTCATTCGTTCTATTCGAATTACATTGAAAGTTTTATTCGAATAAACGAATAAAATGAATAAAACAAATAATTCGAATAGTTTGAATAAACGAATAATAATAATTCAAATAGTTCGAATAATTCGAATAAAAACGAATAATAATAATAATAATTCGAATTAAAATAAGAATTTGTATTACGAATAGAAACTTTGACTTTTATCCTGATATGATGTATTGTATGTTTTTTTTGTCATCCCAAGTAATGTAGGTGGACCCATCTCAATTAAATGTTTATACCATTGAATTCTGCACTAAAATTCTAGACGTGCAAAAATTAAAGCAGAAATTTTTTTTGCCGGCTAAACCAATAAATTTCTTGGCCGGCTAACATCACTAGTTTTGATAAATATTCAAAATTTAATGTTTCGTGCTTGAGTAATAAATAATAAAATCAAACCTTAACATTTGATAATTGCTTTATTAATTATAAATACTATTAATATAGTTGTGAAAATTTACATGCATATATATTCTTGAGATAAACTGATATAAATTTATTTTTATTTTTAATAAAAAATTTGAATCGATTTTTTTATATTCATCTATAAAAAAAAATGTATGAAACCTAAAGTGCAAAATGATTCGAGTAGTTGGTGACAACACAGATAAATAATAAAAACAAAAGCCTAGACTTTCATATGTAGATGATAATAAAATCAAATTTTGAGAAATTAAATTTTGCATAAATATTTATCAAAACTTAATTCGTGCTCCGTGAGACAACTGCATAATTCTATTATAATAGTCACACCACATATCAGAATTTTGTACACAAATATTTATGTATGTCGTACGGCATGATTTTAGCAGATTAATAATGATTTAATCAAGCGAAATATAAGATACAAGAATAATAATCACAAGTAATGATTTCTTATGGTAGAGTTGCAAGGGAGAGAATGTATGGCCCCTAGACCATGAATGTACGCCCCTATACTTTGGCTCTACCAGGTGAAAACTATTTATTATCATTAATTATTTCGTTGATATAATTATCTTCGTTGTCATTAATATTACCACCACCACCACCACTACCACTACTTATAAATTTATCTTTAGTTTTAAGTGCAATCCAAGCCTTTATCACGTCTATGGTTTTGGTACCAGGTTTTGTTGTTCCATTATAATAATTTTCAATAGCCCTGAATCCGAGAAGCTTTATCCCTGTTTCTCTTTTTAGATCGGCTAAAATTTCATTGATCATACCTGATTTAGTATGATTCTTTTCTCGTATAGTCTCGTTGAAAAACTTTTTGAATTTTTGCACGTTTTCATCTGGAAACGAAGTTCGTTTCGAAGCTGAAATGATACAAAAATATTCGATTTACTATGGGCTCACCAAAGATAACAGATATTTATACATTGAAATAATATTACCTTGAGAACTGCTTGAACTATTATTACTTGAAATATTTCTTGAATAATTAGTTAGGGTATCTTCTTCCTGGAATCTTTGTTGGATCTCTTCACTGAGCAAAGAAATTTTTTCAGAAAGCTCGTCTATTTTATTATTATAATGCTCATCAATTTTGTTATCAATTTCTTCAAATTTATTATCAATTTTTTTAGATTCGTTTTTTTGTTTCTCCTTCAATAAATCAAGATCCATATCTATCTATTGTTTAAATATGTAGAAACAAAGCATGCAATGGTGATGTGAATAGATATATGAAGAAATTTTCTCCAAATATAAATGTTACGATGAGGATCAAGATAGGAATTATAATAAAATAATTCTCTAATGGCATTTTTGCGAGGGTTTCAAGAAATTCAGTTGGTGTCATCTAAAAATGATATCAATTAGTACGATGGTTTTTTATAATACACGGGAACAAGCATCCTACATACCTTTGATTTGATGAATGTAAGAATGATATTTAATATGATTTATTTATTAACGTGTTTTTTAATTGATTTACTACGTTTTATTGATTTATTTATTAACGTGTTTTTTTTTATTAATTTACAACGTTTAATTGATTTGCTACGTTTATTTATTAACGTGGGTTTGATTGATTTAACAAATTTTTATTGTATTTATTCGAATGTTATAGTTATAAAGTAGAAAAATTATACGAATTCGAATTTGAGCTGTTTTTATATGCATTTCAGAGTTTCTCCAGCGCGGATGATCAATCTGCTGTGAGTACACATTATTAAAGTTATCAATAATCATTGGTTTTTTCGAATTGCACGGTAAGTTCATTAAAAATTTATCTACTATGGGCGATCCGTTACCTGCGCCGATCATAATTATTTGTGGATTCATGCTGATAGGTAGAATCGAAAACTTTGCTACATCTCATACGACGCACAGGCCCTCATTCGATGTCAAAAAATAAGCTTAATCGTTTTTATACAACAACAATACATACCTCTTATTTATGAGTCTTTAGACTCTGTGCTTTGCCCATTCGTAAAAACAAGAGAAGATTTGGTGATTGCATAATATTACACGACATTAGATATTTTTTCTTGTCAAAGTGATCGGCGTGAACAATTGTTCGTGTGCACGTGATTTTTTTACGATATTTTGAATAAATCTATTTCATATATAAAAAAATATTATCGAACATGGAATCTGAATTAGATTTGTTGAGACAGAGAATTACCAGTCTCGAGGCTGACAATACTAGATTAAAACGAATTATAGAAGAAATTGCTAATCTTAGGATCGAAAATACAAAATTAAAACAAATCATAAAGCAAAATCGAACTACTAATGACCCTTTGCAGTCTTCAGCATCTACACAATCGCCTATTCCGTCACCAATTAATGATGAGGATGATAGCACTGATTCTATAAATTTAGAACAGGAACAAAATTCTATCTCTCTCGAAGGTAATCCTAATAATATTTTGAATCATAAATCGACAGAAGAAAAGAAATTAGATGATTTTCTGAATCGAGTGACAAAAGAAAAGGTTAGTAATTTGATCAGAGATCGAAATCTGGAAAAGAAAATATTACAGAGTAATGAGGATCCCACTTCTGAGGATATTACAGCTGAGACTCAAAGTACCATTATTGCGGGCAATGAACCTACGTTCTCTTCCGAAATAGCAGAAGCTAGTGCAACAGTGCTAAAATTTTCCTATAATCAAAGAGTAGAACAAGGTTTAATACGTGAATTATCTGCATTTATTGGCGAGAAAAGTCTTTCGAATTCTATATCTGACAAACGAATTACTGTAAATATGCCAGACAGGGATGATCTGTCTCCGGGTGAATCAGAGATTCGAAGCTTTGCTTCTTCTGCACCATATTTAGCTCACTTATTTGATAAGGCTAAACAAACCGGTCAGAAAGAAATTTTACGTTGGTATTATTATAGTGAGGAATTCGAAAAAAAGGTTATAGATATTAGTTCAAAAAACAATATTAATGATCAAATGGCAAAAACGCAGATTTATGATGAAATGGGACCATATCTTCCTGGTGTTAAGAGAGAATATTTGCGTAAGATGACCCAAAAAGCTAAAAACATTTATACATTATTTAAAGGGATAGGGATAGATAAAATCAAACACATTACGTATAGCGCTGATGCAATTTCTAGACTAACAGTTGCACAAATTCAAAATATTATAAATCGTTTTCCAAAAAAGAATGCACACGTGATTGAACCATTTATCTCAAACGATTCAGAAAAATTACCGGAAACTGAGGTAAGTGCATTGCCTGAAAAGGTTTCATCGGAAATCCAGGTAAATACATCTAACAAATCCCGTCCTCCAATTTCTACTTTGCCTGATGATCCAGAAGAAAAACGAAAATGCGTTATTGAAATGGCGTTGGAGTGGTGTCCTTATTTATCATTGGATCATAGTAATGAATATAGCGATATTTATAATTTTAATAGTTCAGTACACTGTCCTATATGCAATAAAGACCATGAAAAAGATAATATAAGGAATAATATAAATGGACAATGGGGTAGTGGTGATTATGCCAATACAGAAACTTATCGTCTCAAATGTTGGGAGGCTTGTCAGAAATCAATCCAAATAGTAACTGTGAAAGCGTAGAATGATCTGGTATGGATATGGCACATAGTGCTGAATCTTTGATTCCTGATAATTACGTTTAATCGAGCGAAAATCAAAAGAACCAACCTGCTTAGCATGATTTCTCTGTAAAAAATTAAACATTTATCCAGTACATATGGATGAAAATCACGTGTGCATAAAGAATCTTTACGCCTATCACTTTGCTAGAAAAAATATTTGCGAAGAAATTCTGGGACAAGCACCCCCATCAGATGAACTTTTAAGGCAAGTTCTATCCCATCTTGAGAAGAGATTTAAGGGAATTCCACTGGCACCGATACTAATAGTCTAACTTCGCATTTCTGCTAACATAGAATCTATTTCCGCGATTTGGGCATCAAAAGGATTATAATGCACTTCCTTCGAAAGATTGTTATTCTTGGGCTGAGATTTAGGTTCGGGTTCAGTATTAGTATCAGGATTGGTATCGGAATCGGAAGAAGTGTCACCCTCAGCATAATAAGTTCCAGAATCAAAACGGTCGATCTTATGTCTCATTGCAATTCTACAAAG